CCAGTGAAGAGCTCTCCCTGGACCCTGGAGGCAGCAGGTGTTCTCTGCAGAGATCTGGACTGTGGCTCTGCTGTTTCTGTGGGAGAGAGAGAGGAGTCCTCAAAGAGATCCGTTTGGAGGATCAGATCTGGCTGTGTTGAGTCTGCATCTGCTCTGAGGGAGTGTTTATTAGCAAGTTCCTCTTCCCACTTCCTGACTCTTACCTGTTCAGGTAAGCTCCTTTGACTTTTCCTTCCACATTTTGAGTTTTTAATAAAAACGTCACTTATTTCTCAAAATTTGGATTTTTTTTCCTCCAGATTTGACACATTTCTAAACATTTAACTTTTTCCTAAAAATTGTACTTTTTTTTTTCTCAAATTTTGAATTTTAAATAAATATCAAATAAGAAAATAGAAATAAAAGATAAAGAATTAAATACAATACAAATTATAGAAGTAACTGTTTCTTTACCTCAGTTGTATCTTCTGTCCTCTGCAGACTCTGTCAGGCTGGTGAATGGGACCGGTCTGTGTTCAGGTAGACTGGAGGTGAACTCTAACCAGTCTGACCCGTCCTGGTCCTCAGTGTGTGAGGCTGACTTTGACCAGCAGGATGCTCAGGTGGTCTGCAGGCAGCTGGGCTGTGGGGCTTCTTCAGTCCTCCAGGGGGCGCTCTATGGAGAAGGGGAGGCTCCAATGGGGACCAAAGAGTTCCAGTGTGGAGGCCATGAGTCTGCTCTCCTGGACTGTAGCTCAGCCTCAGAGAGAAACACCTGCTCACCTGGCAGCAGCTGTTAGCCTCACCTGCTCAGGTAGAAGATTCAAAGGTTCAAAGGTTTTATTATCATATGCACATGAGCTACAGGGTAGAAATGGCAATGAAACTCTCCTGACCTGAGCTCCTCCAACAATGAAACATATATAATAAAATACAAAAATAAAAATAACTGCAAGAAGTCTCATCTCGCAATCTACTTATTTATATAAATAGTTATCACCGCAATAAACAGTTTTTAATTTTGTCTTAATGTACGTTATTTAATTTCAAAATGCTGTTCTTGTACATATCATATTGTATTTAGATGTGTATAGACTTCTTTCAGAAATTTGAATTTTTTCTCAAAATTTTACTTTTCTTTTAGAATTTGATTTTGTCCACCAAAGATGACTTTTTTCTCGTAAGTTGACTTTTTCCTCAAAATGTCTCATTGCCATTTCTAACCTGTAGCTCATGTTCATATGACAATAAAAGCTTTGAATTTGAATTTGATATACATGTAAATAGAATATAAAATAGAGGAGCTGCAGCTGTGATTGGTTCATTTCATCAAACTCACTTTATTCTCTCTGATGACTCTCTTGTTTCTCTTCAGAGCCTGATGAGGTCAGACTGGTGGGAGGAGAGAGTCGCTGTGCAGGAGCTCTGGAGGTGAAGCATCAGGGAGAATGGAGAACAGTGTGGGACTCTCCCTGGACCCTGAAGGCAGCAGGTGTTGCCTGCAGAGAGCTAAACTGTGGCTCTGCTGTTTCTGTGGGAGAGAGAGAGGAGACCTCAGAGAGACGTGTGTGGGGGATCAGACCTACCTGTGCTCAGTCTGCATCTGCTCTGAGGGAGTGTGCAGCAGCAAGTTACTCTTCCCACTTCCTGACTCTTACCTGTTCAGGTAAGCTGCTTTGACTTTGACACTTTTTTTAGAAGTTGATTTTTTTCGCGAAATTTTTCTGGAGATTTTACTGAAATTTTGATTTTTAAATAGATACAAAATATGAAAATAGAAATAAAAGAGAAAGCATAAAATGCACTAAAAATGTAAAACTAACTGTTTCTTTACCTCAGTTGTATCTTCTGTCCTCTGCAGACTCTGTCAGGCTGCTGGGGGGGACCAGTCTGTGCTCAGGTAGACTGGAGGTGAAGTCTAACCAGTCTAACCAGTCTAACCCGTCCTGGTCCTCAGTGTGTGAGGCTGACTTTGACCAGCAGGATGCTCAGGTGGTCTGCAGGCAGCTGGGCTGTGGGGCTCCTTCAGTCCTCCAGGGGGCGCTCTATGGAGAAGGGGAGGCTCCAATGGGGACCAAAGAGTTCCAGTGTGGAGGCCATGAGTCTGCTCTGCTGGACTGTAGCTCAGCCTCAGAGAGAAACACCTGCTCACCTGGCAGAGCTGTTAGCCTCACCTGCTCAGGTAGAAGATTCAAAGGTTGTATTGTCATATGCTCCTCCAAAAATGCAACATATATAATAAAATACAAAAATAAAAAATTGTGCAAGAAGTCTCATCTCGCAATCTACTTATTTATATCAATAGTTATCACCGCAATAAACCGTTCTTAATTTTGTCTTAATGTACATTATTTAATTTCATATTGGGTTCTTGTACATATCATATTGTATTTAGATTAGGGCCGGGACTTTAACGCGTTAATTAAGATTAATTAATTACACAAAAATTAACGCATTTTAATCGCACTTATTTTTGCACCGTGGAACGTTTCTCACTGGATGAGTTTCAGGCGTACCGATTATACTGGAGCACCAACTAACGTTCATGACTTCAGACAACAACAAACCACAGTGAACAACAGTGGGAAATGTTGTTTTAAAAAACGGACGGATGGAAGCGTCGATAAGAGCACGGTTGTGTGCAAATTATGCAAAAAGGAATTCGCATATCACCGCAGCACATCAAGCCTCAAGTATCACCTCAATGCAAAACATATAGCAGCTAACGTGGAAGCTAGCGTGGACGTTAGCCTCTTTTATCGCGTTCACACCAAAAAGAGCAGGTACTAAAATTAGTTCATGAGAACCTTTTTACCCCCACGAAAGTCCCTGCTAGAGAGCAGAGAGCTGCTAGAGAGCAGGGACTTTCGTACGGCTCTCTTGTGAGAAAAGAGCTATATTTCTGATTGGCTGGGCGGATTGCAAACCACGCCCCGTAAAACTCCCAAAAAGTGTTGTGAAGCCGCCATTTTATTATCCTCGCATTAGCATTATTAGCATTAGCCCAGCGCAGAAACGCAGAGAGACTAACTTATGGCAACACAAAATAAAACATGGGAGCGGTGGAGATGAGGAGGTGTCGGCGTTCTGGCGATTTACTCGGAAGGCTTCAGTAGAAGCTGCTGGGACTCCCAGCAGCTTCTACTGAAGCCAGTCCCCAACTCCGGGGACTTCCGGCCGGGGACTTTGGGCGGCAGTATACGCCGTGAAGTGGTTTGCAGCCTGCCAGTAAACCCAAAGCAGAAGAAGAAGAAGTGACGTCAGCGGCTTCATTTGCCTAATCCTCCCTCAGGTTCAAAGAGTTCTCATGAACTAAATTCTCATGAACCTTTGTGGGAAAAGTACTGCGGTGTGAATGCGCCTAATGGTATACTAAAATCCATGTGAAAAAAATTGCTTCTCACTGTTCTCAGGTCAAATATGTATATGTGATTAAAAATGCGATTAATTTCAATTAATTAATTACAAAGCCTCTAATTAATTAGATTAATTTTTTTAATCGAGTCCCGGCCCTAATTTAGATGTATATAGACTTCTTGCACAATATTTTAAATGTTGTATTTTTCCCTCAAAAGTTGACTTTCTTCTCTAAAAGCTGACTTTTTTTTCACATAGTGACTTTTCCTCGAAATTTAAATATTTCCCCAAAATTAACTTATCTTAGAATTTGATTTTTTTCTCCAAATCTTTTTCCTTAGAGTATTTGACTTTTATCTGAAATGATGACTTTTTTATTAATATTTGATATGTTTCTCGAAATGTAACTTTTTATTTTTTATTTAAATGTGTTTCTCCAAATCTGACTTTTTTCTCAAATGTTGACTTTTTCCTCAAAATGTCTTATTTCCATTTCTAACCTGTAGCGCAGGTGCATATGAAAACAACACCTTTGATATACATATAAATAGAATATGAAATAGAGGAGCTGCAGCTGTGATTGGTTTATTTCATCAAACTCAATTTATTCTCTCTCTGATCTCTCTCTTGTTTCTCTTCAGAGCCGGTCAGACTGGTGGGAGGAGAGAGTCGCTGTACTGGAGAACTGGAGGTGAAACAGGGAGAATGGAGAGCAGTGAAGAGCTCTCCCTGGACTCTGGAGGCAGCAGGTGTTGCCTGCAGAGATCTGGACTGTGGCTCTGCTGTTTCTGTGGGAAGGATTAAGCAGTCCTCAGAGAGACCTGTGTGGGAGATCAGATCTAAATGTGTTGAGTCTGGATCTGCTCTGAGGGACTGTGCAACAGCAACTTCATATTCCTACTTCCTGACTCTTTCCTGTTCAGGTAAGATCCTTTGACTTTTTCCTCAGAATTCGACTTTTTCCTCGACATTTTTCTCACAATTTGAATTTTACTCAAAATGTTTACTTTTTCCTCAAAATGTAACTTTTTATTGAGAATTTGATTTTTTTTCCTCCAAATTTGGCTTGTTGAGGTTTCCATATTGAGTTGGATAATTAAAATGAAAGTTCATATAATCAAATATAATCTTTTATAACCCACAATGAAAATGCATTATATTTCATGCTGTTAGGAACAGGGATATCCGCTCCTTTTTTAAGGATAGCAAATCGAACATACAGTATAATAGAACATTTTCAGACTTACTGTATGCTTTGGGAATAGCCCCTTATTTCAATCAAGAGAGACTTAATTTTGTTTAAAGAACATGTATTGACACATGCCATATGATAAATGTTAAGTCTTTGGCGATTAGACCCCAATCCTGAAATCGTATATCTAAGGGGGAAATGCAGCCGTGAGCGTAGGGAACCCCCACAAAGGAGGAAAGTGTATGAGAGATGAAGGAGATTGGACCACTTGACCTTACCAGGTGGCATGGATTCTGCTGAGACATGATTGAGAATTAGACAGAGCATAGAGACAATGCGAACAAGTGAATAATATATGCGTCAAAGTGAGGCAGAGAAAGTAGTTCCATAGAGCTCGATACGGAGAAGCTGAGAGCCTGACCGGTGTCTGACAGTAATATTTAGACAGTACTAAAGCTCCGGCCCGCTGATCCTTCAGCTCTCTCCTCCAGAGTATTAACTATTCTTAAAAGGTGTTTCTCTGCCGTCTGTCTGCAGACTTATCAAAGCATTAATTCATGGTTTTTACTAACCGGTATCAGCGTGTTGTTACTTCGGCATCATTTTGAAACGTGTATTACAATTAAATCACGGTAAAATATGTTCATTTTATTGCAGTTGTAGCCCCCTTGCGTCACTAGTTTAGCATATTCAGCCCGATTGTTGGCCCGGAAATAATCACGATTTTGGAGGGCTAAAAAAACTGTTAAAAAGTACCCATTAGCCGGAACTACCCCTAGTGGAAACGCAACAAAAAACAGGCCGGGTTTGGCACGGCACGCTTAAACCGTGCTACGCGTTGCAGTGGAAACGTGCCATTAGTTACTGCATGGATCAATCCCCTTTCATGGACTCGAATATAAATATAAGAAAAATCATCAGATCAAAAAAAATTGCTTTCTTTCTCCAAATTTAACTTTTTACACCAAATGTAACTTTTTTTTTTTATAAAATGTTTTCCTCAAAATGTTGAATATTTCTTCAACATTTTAAATTTTTCCTCAAAATTTAACTTTTTGGAGAATTAGATTATTTTCTCCAAATGTAACTTATTTTTCAAAATGTGACTTTTTTGTCGCTCAGCCTCAGAGAGAACCACCTGCTCACCTGGCAGAGCTGTTAGCCTCACCTGCTTCTCATCAACTCACTTTATTCTCTCTGATCTCTCTCTTGTTTCTCTTCAGAGCCGGGTGAGGCTAAGCTGGTGGGAGGAGAGAGTCGCTGTGCAGGAACTCTGGAGGTGAAGCATCAGGGAGCATGGAGACCAGTGAAGGGGTTTCCTCCCTCTACCCTGAAGGCAGCAGGTGTTGCCTGCAGAGAGCTGGACTGTGGCTCTGCTGTTTCTGTGGGAGAGAGAGTGGAGTCATCAGAGAGACCTGTGTGGTGGATCCTGTCTGCCTGTGTTGAGTCTGGATCTGCTCTGAGGCAGTGTGCATTATCAGGTTCCTCTTCCCACTTCCTGACTCTTACCTGTTCAGGTAAGCGCCTTTGACTTTTTTCTACGAATTTGACTTTTTCCTATACATTTTGACTTTTTCTCACAATTTCAATTTTGTTTTTGAATTAGATATTTTTTTTTTTTAAATTGACTTTTTTCTAAAAAAAATATTATTTTCTCCAGATTTGATTGTTTCCTTCAAATGTTGACTATTTCCTAAATAATTGATAAATAATAAAATACAATAAAAAAAGTAACTGTTTCTTAATCTCAGTTGTATCTTCTGTCCTCTCCAGACTCTGTCAGGCTGGTGAATGGGACCAGTCTGTGCTCAGGCAGACTGGAGGTGAACTCTAACCAGTCTAACCAGTCTGACCCGTCCTGGTCCTCAGTGTGTGAGGCTGACTTTGACCAGCAGGATGCTCAGGTGGTCTGCAGGCAGCTGGGCTGTGGGGCTCCTTCAGTCCTCCAGGGGGCGCTCTATGGAGAAGGGGAGGCTCCAATGGGTACCAAAGAGTTCCAGTGTGGAGGCCATGAGTCTGCTCTCCTGGACTGTAGCTCAGCCTCAGAGAGAAGCACCTGCTCACCTGGCACAGCTGTTGGCCTCACCTGCTCAGGTAGAAGATTCAAAGGTTTTATTATCATATGCACATAAGTTATAGTCAGTGGCGCTGCAAGACACTCTGGGGGCCCCAGGCAGAATACATGCCCCCAAACACATCCAGCACAACCGGGTCAAAGTTATGGGCCTAGGAAAATATTTCCCCAACAGCTGTGATTGGTTCATTTCATCAAACTCACTTTATTCTCTCTCTGATGACTCTCTTGTTTCTTTTCAGAGCCGGTCAGACTGGTGGGAGGAGAGAGTCGCTGTGCAGGAGCTCTGGAGGTGAAACATCACAGGGAATGGAGACCAGTGTGGGTCCCTCTCTGGACCCTGAAGGCAGCAGGTGTTGCCTGCAGAGATCTGGACTGTGGCTCTGCTGTTTCTGTGGGAGAGAGAAAGTCCTCATTCAGACCTGTGTGGGGGATCCTGTCTGACTGTGCTCGGTCTGGATCTGCTCTGAGGGAGTGTGCAGTATCAAGTTACTCTTCCAACTTCCTGACTATTGCCTGTTCAGGTAAGCACCTTTGACTTTTTTTCTAAAGATTTTGACTTTTTTCTCACAATTTGATTATTCCTGGAATTTTGACTTTTTCCTCCAAAATTAACTTTTTTTTTAGAATTGGATTTTGTTCTCAAATTTAGATTTTTAAATAAATAACAAATAAGAAAATAGAAATAAAAGATAAATAATAAAATACAATAACAATTAAAAAAGTAACTGTTTATTTACCTCAGTTGTATCTTCTGTCCTCTCCAGACTCTGTCAGGCTGGTGAATGGGACCAGTCTGTGCTCAGGTAGACTGGAGGTGAAGTCTAACCAGTCTAACCCGTCCTGGTCCTCAGTGTGTGAGGCTGACTTTGACCAGCAGGATGCTCAGGTGGTCTGCAGGCAGCTTGGCTGTGGGGCTCCTTCAGTCCTCCAGGGGGCGCTCTATGGAGAAGGGGAGGCTCCAATGGGGACCAAAGAGTTCCAGTGTGGAGGCCATGAGTCTGCTCTCCTGGACTGTAGCTCAGCCTCAGAGAGAAACACCTGCTCACCTGGCAGAGCTGTTGGCCTCACCTGCTCAGGTAGAAGATTCAAAGGTTTTATTATCATATGCACATGAGCTACAGGGTAGAAATGGCAATGAAATTCTCCTCAACTGAGCTCCTCCAACAATGCAACATATATAGTAAAATAAAAAATATTGCAAGAAGTCTATATTAGTGTTAATTTCGTTGACTAAAACTATGACGAAATATGTTTGTCAACAACCTTTTTTTCCATGACTAAAACGAGACGATGACGAGACGGCACCGACGTCAGTAAACAATAACTGTAACGAAATCATCATGCAATATCGTTGGCGAATAGTGACGAGATGAAAATGTAGTTTACTAAATAAAAACGATGCCAAAATCTCTCTTTACTTTCGTTGACGAAAAAGGAGGAGACGAAGTATTATCAAAAATAACGTTACATCTGATAGTCAGTTTTTGTCCCAGGAGTTCCATTTGCGGTGCTGCGGCTGGGCAGCAGCTGTGTGTGTCTGTGCTGCGCGCGGCGGTACATTTAAATTACGCCGGGCCAGCGGGCAGCGGCACACTATGTGTGGGGGAAACCTCTGAAGCAATTGGAGACAGGACTCAGAGAGACACGAGGAGAACTGGAGCTTTGATGGCAAACACTGATGGTTTATTTGGAGCTTCGGCCGGAAGACATATCACGGGCCACGAGTTGACCACACGGTTGAGATGCCACAATCAATTCTGAGGAACTCTACCCCAGACCCATGTGTTTAGCTAGTTCTGAGAGAATAATCAACATGCTGCATAACTCCTCTATCAGCTGACGCTAACAGGCAGGAGCAGGGAGACAGAACACTGAGAGCAGCAGCCAAGGCTGCAGGTGCCTGTGCTCAGTCAGGACCGTTTGAACTGATACACTGGGTCAAAGTTATGGGCCTTGGAAAACGAACAGTCAGGAAGACTCGGATCTAACGAACCTTATTTAACAGAAAATAAAATGGCAACAGCAGGGCTTGGGAGCAGTGGCCACGTTAACCGAATACCCCCCAAACGTGGCTAGACTGGTTTGACGCTTTGCCGAACTGCATTGTGGTTCCGTCGCGTCGCCTCCGTTGCTCGCTTCGAAAGTTGAGAAAAGGTCAACTTTTCAAGCGTCGACGGAAGCGCCAGCCAATCAAATCATATGCCAGTAGAAGCTCTAGCAAAATCCATTTTCAAATCTTTTTCTCACAGTTTTTGACTTTTTAAAAAATAATTTGATTTGTTTCTAAAATGTTTACTTTTTTTTTTAGTTACATTGTTTTCTCAAATGTTGACTTTTTCCTCAAAATTCCTCATTGCCATTTTTAACCTGCTCAGGTGTATATCACAATAAAAGCTTTAAATTTGAATTTGATATACATGTAAATAGAATATAAAATAGAGGAGCTGCAGCTGTGATTGGTTCATTTCATCAAACTCTCTTTATTCTCTCTCTGATCTCTCTCTTGTTTCTCTTCAGAGCCGGTCAGACTGGTGGGAGGAGAGAGTCGCTGTGAGGGAGCTCTGGAGGTGAAACAGGGAGAATGGAGAACAGTGAAGAACTCTCCCTGGACCCTGAAGACAGCAGGTGTTGCCTGCAGAGAACTCGACTGTGGCTCTGCTGTTTCTGTGGGAGAGAGAGAGGAGTCCTCAGAGAGACCTGTGTGGGGGATCAGACCTGACTGTGTTCAGTCTGGATCTGCTCTGAGGGAGTGTGCAACAGCAACTTCCTCTTCCCACGTCCTGACTCTTACCTGTTCAGGTAAGCTCCTTTGACTTTTTTCTCAGACTTAGATGTTTTCCTCCAAATGTTGACTTTTTCCTCAAAATATGATTTTTTTGTTCTCAGTGTTCTTGACTTTTTTCTCAAATTTTGAAATAGAAATAAAAGATAAAGCATAAAATACAATAAAAAATGTAAACAGTAACTGTTTCTTTACCTGAGTTTTATTTTCTGTCCTCTCTAGACTCTGTCAGGCTGGTGAATGGGACCAGTCTGTGCTCAGGTAGACTGGAGGTGAAGTCTAACCAGTCTAACCCGTCCTGGTCCTCAGTGTGTGAGGCTGACTTTGACCAGCAGGATGCTCAGGTGGTCTGCAGGCAGCTGGGCTGTAGGGCTCCTTCAGTCCTCCAGGGGGCGCTCTATGGAGAAGGGGAGGCTCCAATGTGGACCACAGAGTTCCAGTGTGGAGGCCATGAGTCTGCTCTCCTGGACTGTAGCTCAGCCTCAGAGAGAAACACCTGCTCACCTGGCAGAGCTGTTGGCCTCACCTGCTCAGGTAGAAGATTCAAAGGTTCAAAGGTTTTATTATCATATGCACATGAGCTACAGGGTAGAAATGGCAATGAAACTCTCCTGACCTGAGCTCCTCCAGCAATGCAACATATATAATAAAATACAAATATACAAAATAGTGCAAGAAGTCTCATCTTGCAATCTACTTATTTATATAAATAGTTATCACCGCAATTAACCGTTTTTGATTTTGTCTTAATGTACATAATTTAATTTCATATTCTGTTCTTGTACATATGATAATGTATTTAGATGTGTATAGACTTCTTGCACTATTTTACATTTTAAATTTGTTTCTGCAATTTTGACTTTCCTCCAAATGTAACTTCTTCTCTAAATGTGACTTATCACTCAATTGTTGACTTTTTCCTAAAAATTCCTCATTGGAGGAGCTGCAGCTGTGATTGGTTCATTTCATCAAACTCAATTTATTCTTTCTCTGATCTCTCTCTTGTTTCTCTTCAGAGCCGGTCAGACTGGTGGGAGGAGAGAGTCGCTGTGCAGGAGACCTGGAGGTGAAACAGGGAGAATGGAGACCAGTGAAGAACTCTCCCTGGACCCTGAAGACAGCAGGTGTTCTCTGCAGAGAGCTGGACTGTGGCTCTGCTGTTTCTCTACGATTGAGAGAGGAGTCCTCAAAGAGATCTGTGTGGGGGATCAGTCCTCAATGTGTTGAGTCTGGATCTGCTCTGAGGGAGTGTGCAGCAGCAAGTTCCTCTTCCTACTTCTTGACTCTTACCTGTTCAGGTAAGCTCCTTTGAATTTTCCTCGAAATTGAAATATTTCCCGAAAAATTTACTTTTTTTTTTTTTTTAATTACAGAGCCCTGGAGGGTTCATAGAGAGACAAATAAATGAAACGTGGCCACGTTTTACTTTCTCGTGCGGACGCTTTAGTAACTTGTGCGCACGAGTTACTAAAGCGTGCGCACGAGTTACTAAAGCGTGGCCTCGTTTTGTGTGTGTGTGTGGGGGCATTTATTTATGATAGTATCGTTCATTCCGGTGCACTCCGGCAGGACTATAGCACATCGAGATTAAGATTAAACAAATGTCTTTCACTTGGGAATACACTTAACTATGGGGAACCAGATTTGTGTAAAGTAGCCTACTGTTCGTGGTAATTTGAAAACAAATTCCGGTGGTGTCGGATACACACAAACACGCACACAGAGCGGAGCTGAGCACACGCACACACATCATGCGCCCCGGTGACAGGACATCTCCTTCATAAAGCGAGGGGGAATACTCTGGTAGTTCGATGTGTGTATAGGTGTGTGTGGTTAAACGTAGCAGCCTCGATCTCTATTCAGCGGTTCTAATGAAGGGAAACGCAGTGAAGTCAACAGTAAAAGGCACAGCTCTTTGCAGCTGGTGCTGCTCTTCTCAGATTCTGCTGGGTTACACGTTACTGCCTCCAGTGCCCTGTACGACGAAGCCAGTTCAACCCTGGACCTGGACATGTTCGATTTACCCGGCTTAACTGACCCTAACAAACGCGATGTCGATAAGCGGTCCTACGAAGCTGGTTATCAACTCAGTAAATCAACCAGGGTTTCTCTGTCCGGCTGAGAGCGCGCTCACGTGAAAGGGACGGGGTTAGCAACATTTGACCAATCACAAACATGGAGACGCGTGCTGACAGCGCAGCGTCATACTTCATGAATGAATAGTGTAAATAGTAAATCCTGCTTCGTAGTACAGGCCACTGGTGCCGCTGAGATTTCATAAAGTGAAGGAGGTTTTCCTTCTATAGAACAGCTGTGGGCAGATACTGTGAGTCACACAGGAATCCCTCAATTTAAATAAAACGAGGCCACGCTTTATTAACTCGTGCGCACGCTTTAGTAACTCGTGCGCACGCTTTAGTAACTCGTGCGCACGCTTTAGTAACTCGTGCGCACGAGTTACTAAAGCGTGCGCACGAGAAAGTAAAACGTGGCCACGTTTTATTTATTTTTCTCTCTATGAACCCTCCAGGGCTCCGTACATTTCTTTCTCCAAACTTTACTTTTTCCCAGAGTTTTTGATCTTTTTCTCAAAATGAGACTTTTTTCTCAGAATTTGGTTTTTTTTCATGACATTTTGACTTTTCTCAGAGTTCTTGACTTTTTCCTCAAAATGGAACTTTCCTTTTAGTATTTACATTTGTTTTCTCAAAACTTGACTAATTACTAAAAATCTGACTTTTTCCTCAAAATGTCTCGTGTGCCAATAAAACCTTTGCATTTGATTTTGATAAACATGCAAATAACATATAAAATAGAGGAGCTGCAGCTGTGATTGGTTCATTTCATCAAACTCAATTTATTCTCTCTCTTGTTTCTCTTCAGAGCCGGTCAGACTGGTGGAAGGAGAGAGTCGCTGTGCAGGAACTCTGGAGGGGAATCTTCATGGGGAATGGAGACCAGTGGGGGGCTCTCCCTCTCTCTGGACCCTGAAGATAGCAGATGATGTCTGCAGAGATCTCAAATGTGGCTCTGCTGTTTCTGTGGGAGAGAGAGTGGAGTCCTCAGAGAGATCTGTGTGGGACATCATGTCTACCTGTGTTCAGTCTGGATCTGCTCTGAGGCAGTGTGCAGAATCAAGTTACTCTTCCCACTTCCTGACTCTTACCTGTTCAGGTAAGCTCCTTTGACTTTTTTCTCACAATTTGACTTTTCCTCGATATTTGACTTTTTTCTCAAGTTTAAAAAAAAAAAAAATAACAAATAAGAAAAGATAAAGAATAAAATACAATAACAATTTAAAAAGTAACTGTTTCTTTACCTCAGTTGTATCTTCTGTCCTCTCCAGACTCTGTCAGGCTGGTGAATGGGACCAGTCTGTGCTCAGGCAGACTGGAGGTGAACTCTAACCAGTCTAACCCGTCTAACCCGTCCTGGTCCTCAGTGTGTGAGGCTGACTTTGACCAGCAGGATGCTCAGGTGGTCTGCAGGCAGCTGGGCTGTGGGGCTCCTTCAGTCCTCCAGGGGGCGCTCTATGGAGAAGGGGAGGCTCCAATGGGGACCAAAGAGTTCCAGTGTGGAGGCCATGAGTCTGCTCTCCTGGACTGTAGCTCAGCCTCAGAGAGAAAACACCTGCTCACCTGGCACAGCTGTTAGCCTCACCTGCTCAGGTAGAGAGGAGCTGTGATTGGTTCATTCTGTTCTCATCAAACTCACTTTATTCTCTCTCTGATCTCTCTCTTGTTTCTCTTCAGAGCCTGTTTATTTTAAGCTTGTGGGAGGAGAGAGACGCTGTGCAGGAGAACTGGAGCTGAACCATCAGGGAGAATGGAGAACGGTTTTCCTCCCTGGACCCTGGACCCTGAAGGCAGCAAATGTTTTCTGCAGAGATCTGGACTGTGGCTCTGCTGTTTCTGTGGGAGAGAGAGAGGAGTCCTCAGAGAGACCTGTGTGGGGGATCAGACCTGCCTGTATTCAGTCTGGATCTGCTCTGAGGCAGTGTGCAGCAGCAAGTTCCTCTTCACACTTCCTGACTCTTACCTGTTCAGGTAAGCTGCTTTGACTTTTTTCTAAAATGTTGATTTTTAAATGAATAACAACATAGAAATAACAGATAAAGAACAAAATACAATAAAAACAAAAAAAATAAATGTTTCTTTACCTCAGTTGTATCTTCTGTCCTCTCCAGACTCTGTCAGGCTGGTGAATGGGACCAGTCTGTGCTCAGGTAGACTGGAGGTGAAGTCTAACCAGTCTAACCAGTCTAACCCGTCCTGGTCCTCAGTGTGTGAGGCTGACTTTGACCAGCAGGATGCTCAGGTGGTCTGCAGGCAGCTGGGCTGTGGGGCTCCTTCAGTCCTCCAGGGGGCGCTCTATGGAGAAGGGGAGGCTCCAATGTGGACCACAGAGTTCCAGTGTGGAGGCCATGAGTCTGCTCTCCTGGACTGTAGCTCAGCCTCAGAGAGAAGCACCTGCTCACCTGGCAGAGCTGTTAGCCTCACCTGCTCAGGTAGAAGATTCAAAGGTTCAAAGGTTTTATTGTCATATACACATGAGCTACAGGGTAGAAATGGCAATGAAACTCTCCTGACCTGAGCTCCTCCAACAATGCAACATATATAATAAAATACAAAAATAAAAAATACTGCAAGAAGTCTCATCTCGCAATCTACTTATTTATATACATAGTTATCACCGCAATGAACCGTTCTTAATATTGTCTTATTGTACATTATTTAATTTCATATTCTGTTCTTTTACATATCATATCGTATTTAGATGGATATCGACTTCTTGCACAATATTTTTTTTTTTCTTCTCCAAATTGTACTTCTTTCTCCAATGTTGACTTTTTCCTCGAAATCTCTCGTTGACATTTCTAACCTGTAGCTCATGTTCATATGAACATAAAAGCTTTGCATTTGATATACATGTAAATAGAATATAAAATAGAGGAGCTGCAGCTGTGATTGGTTCATTTCTTCAAACTCTCTTTATTCTCTCTCTGATCTCTCTCTTGTTTCTCTTCAGAGCCTGATGAGGTCAGACTGGTGGGAGGAGAGAGTCGCTGTGCAGGAGACATGGAGGTGAAGCATCAGGGAGAATGGAGACCAGTGGAGAGCTCTCTCTGGACCCTGAAGGCAGCAGGTGTTGCCTGCAGAGATCTGGACTGTGGGTCTGATGTTTATGTGGGAGAGAGAGTGGAGTCCTCAGAGAGACCTGTGTGGAGGATCAGTCCTCAATGTGTTGAGTCTGGATCTGCTCTGAGGGAGTGTGCAACAGCAGGTTCCTCTTCATACTTCCTGACTCTTTCCTGTTCAGGTAAGCTCCTTTGACCTTTCCTCAAAATGTAACTTTTCTTGGAGAATTAGATTTATTTCTCAAAATTTCAGTTATTTTTCAAACTTTTACTTTGTTGTCGCTCAGCCTCAGAGAGAACCACCTGCTCACCTGGCAGAGCTGTTAGCCTCACCTGCTTCTCATCAACTCACTTTATTCTCTCTGATGACTCTCTTGTTTCTCTTCAGAGCCGGGTGAGGTTAAGCTGGTGGGAGGAGAGAGTCGCTGTGCAGGAACTCTGGAGGTGAAGCATCAGGGAGCATGGAGACCAGTGAAGGGGTTTCCTCCCTCTACCCTGAAGGCAGCAGGTGTTGCCTGCAGAGAGCTGGACTGTGGCTCTGCTGTTTCTGTGGGAGAGAGAATATCCTCATTCACACCTGTGTGGGAGATCCTGTCTGACTGTGCTTGGTCTGGATCTGCTCTGAGGGAGTGTGCATTATCAAGTTACTCTTCCAACTTCCTGACTCTTACCTGTTCAGGTAAGCACCTTTGACTTTTTTCTCAAATTTTGATTTTTTAAATAAATAACAAAGGATAAAAGATAAAGAATAAAATACAATACAAATAAAAAAAGTAACTGTTTCTTTACCTCAGTTGTATCTTCTGTTCTCTGCAGACTCTGTCAGGCTGCTGGGGGGGACCGGTCTGTGCTCAGGCAGACTGGAGGTGAACTCTAACCAGTCTAACCAGTCTGACCCGTCCTGGTCCTCAGTGTGTGAGGCTGACTTTGACCAGCAGGATGCTCAGGTGGTCTGCAGGCAGCTGGGCTGTAGGGCTCCTTCAGTCCTCCAGGGGGCGCTCTATGGAGAAGGGGAGGCTCCAATGGGTACCAAAGAGTTCCAGTGTGGAGGCCATGAGTCTGCTCTCCTGGACTGTAGCTCAGCCTCAGAGAGAAGCACCTGCTCACCTGGCAGAGCTGTTAGCCTCACCTGCTCAGGTAGAAGATTCAAAGGTTTTATTATCATATGCACATAAGTTATAGTCAGTGGCGCTGCAAGACACTCTGGGGGCCCCAGGCAGAATACATGCCCCCAAACACATCCAGCACAACCGGGTCAAAGTTATGGGCCTAGGAAAATATTTCCCCAACAGCTGTGATTGGTTCATTTCATCAAACTCACTTTATTCTTTCTCTGATGACTCTCTTGTTTCTTTTCAGAGCCGGTCAGACTGGTGGGAGGAGAGAGTCGCTGTGCAGGAGACCTGGAGGTGAAACATCACAGGGAATGGAGACCAGTGTGGGTCCCTCTCTGGACCCTGAAGGCAGCAGGTGTTGCCTGCAGAGAGCTGGACTGTGGCTCTGCTGTTTCTGTGGGGGAGAGAAAGTCCTCATTCAGACCTGTGTGGGGGATCCTGTCTGACTGTGCTCGGTCTGGATCTGCTCTGAGGGAGTGTGCAGTATCAAGTTACTCTTCCAACGTCCTGACTCTTACCTGTTCAGGTAAGCGCCTTTGACTTTTTTTCAAACATTTGGACTTTTTTCTCACAACAAAGTGTTTTTGATTTTTTGAGTTCTCTGGGAGCCAATGGGAGCTGAGCTCTCATAAGGAGGGTCTGAGCTCCTATGAAAGCAGTGAAATCAAACATCTGTGGGGGTCGCTAATAAATTACCAAAAACCATTATTTTAATCACAAATAATGCATTTTATAATGTAATGAGTATTATTTACGTTAACGAGGTAAATAGGCGAAAAGAAAAACATGTTTCCCAAAAGAACTACGTATCGTATTCTCTCTTGAATGACAATACGCTGCACTTCACCTCCAAGGTGCGCAATCTATAACTGTGAGAGTGTGTGTGTGTGTGTGTGTGTGTGTGTGTGTGTGTGTGTGTGTGTGTGTGTGTGTGTGTGTGTGTGTGTGTGTGTGTGTTGTGTGTGTGTGTGTGTGTGTGTGTGTGTGTGTGTGTGTGTGTGTGTGTGTGTGGTGTGTGTGTGTGTGTGTGTGTGTGTGTGTGTGTGTGTGTGTGTGTGTGTGTGTGTGTGTGTGTGTGTGTGTGTGTGTGTGTGTGTGTGTGTGTGTGTGTGTGTGTGTGTACGTGTACGTAATTAGCAGTGAAGTCGTTATGTACGTTATAACCCGGCTGTTACTGATATATTTATCTCCGCCCCTAACGTTAGTTTTAAAGACCCCCATGAAGATTATACCTCGAACCCTGCATGATATAGAAATTGCAATGACATTCTTCTGACCTGAGCTCCTCCAACGATGCAACATATATATAATAAAATACAAAATAGTGCAAGAAGTCTATATACATGTAATTAGAATATAAAAGAGAGGAGCTGTTCTTGTTTCTCTTCAGAGCCGGTCAGACTGGTGGGAGGAGAGAGTCGCTGTTCAGGAGCTCTGGAGGTGAGGCTTCAGGGGGAATGGAGACCAGTGGAGAGTTCTCCGCCTTGGACCCTGAAGGCAGCAGGTGTTGCCTGCAGAGATCTGGACTGTGGTTCTGCTGCTTCTGTGGGAGAGAGAGAGGAGTCCTCAGAGAGATCTGTGTGGAGGATCAGATCTGCCTGTGTTCAGTATGGATCTGCTCTGAGGGAGTGTGCAGCAGCAAGTTCCTCTTCCCACTTCCTGACTCTTACCTGTTCAGGTAAGCTCCTTTAATTTTTTTTCAGAATTTGACTTTTCTCTCCAAATTTGGACTTTTTACTAAAATGTTGACTTTTCTCACAATTGGACTTTTTTTTTAGAATTTTAGTTTTTTCACAAATTTCGATTTTTAATTAAATAACGAATAAGAAAAAATAAATTAAAGCTAAATAATACCATTTCATTTCAAACCTTTATTTATGCAGGTGAATCCCATTGAGATCATTGATCTTTTTCAAGGGTAACCTGCTGAAAAATTATTGTATTGTTACAATACAATAACAATTCAAAAAGTAACTGTTTCTTTACCTCAGTTGTATCTTCTGTCCTCTCCAGACTCTGTCAGGCTGGTGAATGGGACCAGTCTGTGCTCAGGTAGACTGGAGGTGAACTCTAACCAGTCTGACCCGTCCTGGTCCTCAGTGTGTGAGGCTGACTTTGACCAGCAGGATGCTCAGGTGGTCTGCAGGCAGCTTGGCTGTGGGGCTCCTTCAGTCCTCCAGGGGGCGCTCTATGGAGAAGGGGAGGCTCCAATGGGGACCAAAGAGTTCCAGTGTGGAGGCCATGAGTCTGCTCTCCAGGACTGTAGCTCAGCCTCAGAGAGAGACACCTGCTCACCTGGCACAGCTGTTATCCTCACCTGCTCAGGTAGAAGATTCAAAGGTTCAAAGGTTTGATTGTCATATACAAAAATAAAAAATTGTGCAAGAAGTCTATATACAATCTATATTCAAGAAGTCTCATCTTGCAATCTACTTATTTATATAAATAGTTAACACCGCAATGAACCGTTTTTAATTTTGTCTTAATTCATGCATGAATTAAGAAAACCTCAGTCAGGATTTTTTGTTATTATTGCTCTTGGGGCATGAAAAACAAGATTTGCCAATTTTCTTTTTTTTTAATCTATTTTTTTAAAATAGATTTGTATATGTCCACTCAGGTGGACAGTATGCGTTCAGGGTTTGAACTGGAAATATGTAAATTTGGAAAAAAATATAAATAAAGATGTGCAAACTTAAAATTACATTATAATAACATAAGTATGTTGATTTACGGCGCAAAAAGATATTGCAGATGAAATATTTTCAAGAATAACCAGGGCCAGGGGCCAATTTGAGGCCCCACGCATAGTTATTTGATGAGTGCTAGTGGAGCCTCGCAGCGGCGAAACCGTGCCACGCCACCCTAATTACGCCACATAAGCGCATAGGTGCGCCTCAGATGAGGCCCCCCTCCGCAAGGTGTGGCCCCCTCCACAAGGTGTGGCCCCCTCCACAAGGTGTGGCCACCTCCACAAGGTGAGGCCCCCTCCACAAGGTGTGGTCCCCTCCACAAGGTGAGGCCCCCCCCACAAGGTGAGGCCCCCTCCACAAGGTGAGGCCCCCTCCACAAGGTGAGGCCCCCTCCACAAGGTGAGGCCCCCTCCACAAGGTGTGGTCCCCTCCACAAGGTGAGGCCCCCTCCACAAGGTGTGGTCCCCTTCACAAGGTGAGGCCCCCTCCACAAGGTGTGGTCCCCTCCACAAGGTGTGGTCCCCTTCACAAGGTGAGGCCTCACACATTCTGCCTGTAGGGAGGGACGGCCCTGGCAGCAGCAGCAGTACCAGTATGAATTGTAGTTGAAATATAACCAGTGATGCATGACGTCCACTAGGGCTGTGCGATTATTTGGGTCAATAATTGATATCACGATTATTTTGACGATTATTCATTGACCATTTATTGAACTTTAAAACAAATAATATTTTACCAATAAACAAGATCAACAAATATGTTGGAGCACACTTCCAAAACCATACTAAACATATATTAATATGATAAATAAAAATAAATTAGACCAAAATAAATGAAATCAAACATGTTGCAGTGCACTGTCACAACCTACTGAACACTCCTTAACATAGAGCCAACATTTTGGTAAAACATATTCAACATATTCCACTCAGTTAAACGTTGAAGGCTGGCCCACCGTCATGGTCCAGAAGTAACAGGAAATAAATGTTGAACTACAATTTAAGACCAAATAAAAATGTCTAGGCCACCATGGCAAATGCTGGTAGGGCTGCTCATGTCATCTCTTAAAGATTTTTTGCAAGAAACACCAGCCTGTTGACATGGTCTGGTTTCAGAGATGAGCGCAGGCAGGTGACGATATTGCCACCTGTACTGAAGACCCTCAGCCACGCCCCGACACATGGGGTGACGCCGGCCAATCACAAAGCTTTGATGCGTTCAAGTGCATTATTCTGGCACAGGAAGATTATGTTACAGGACATAAAACAGAATATTGTTGTTCTATTTTTAGACATCTCGCGATCGACTGGTTGGGCACCCCTGGGCTAGACCATAGGTCTGTTGTGGTAGCAAAGTAGTCAGCTGAAGCCACATCTCTCTCAACTTCCCCACGGCATTTGTCATATAGCGCAGGCAGCGCAGCCGCAGACCTGCTGAAATAATACCGAGACGGCATCGCGTAACGCTTATCCAACGTGTTGACAAGTTGCTTAAAGCCCTGGTTGCTAACAGTGCTAACTGGGCACATATCTTTAGCGATGTGAAATGTAATGGCACCTGTAATATCTCTGTGTCTCTGCGAGCTCGTCGCGTAGGCCGTTGCTCTGTACAATGCGTCCTGAATCGATGACTGTGATGATGTGGTGGGATGAAGTCGAGCGGGCATCTGCTTTTTGTTGTATTACTGCCCGGTCGTATTGCACTTTGTGGTTGTATTTCAGATGATTAAAGAGATTGGTTGTGTTAGCGTGTGGTGCCAACACAACCTGGTAACAAATCCTGCACTGTACTTTGTTTTGCTCCACGTCGGACTCCTGAAAGCCAAAGTACTTGCAAATAGTGGAAATAGTTGTACCCTTCTTTTTAACGAGTTGCTGCTCTTGTTCTGACATCTTCGCTCGCGCTGAACACTCACAACACATGTCACTCCCACGTGGCCGAGTGGGCTTTTAGGGAGGGGCGAAAGCGCACCCAGCAAAAATAATCGTATTTTGTCAATTATGCTGTTTTCATAATCGTCGCAAGCCATAATCGTAATCGCGATTAAAATACGATTAATTGCACAGCCCTAACGTCCACTGTAGTGGACAGGTGGTTAATCATGATTTCCTGCAAACATAAAATCAATACTTTGATAATTTATGAATTATATGATTCCTTATGTTACTTGATGTCACCACATGTTTTATACCTGCAGGGGACGCTTTCCATAAAAGGATTGGCAAGATATAGATGGGTGACTTGGTCCATGTGGCTTTCTGTCGTCCATCTTGGTTTAGAGACATGTACCATGCACTTACACTGACTTTCCACTGAGTGGCAGAGTATGGGATGATGCAATAGGGTCCTATGTAGTGGCTGATTGTGTAACTATGCAAACAAAAACAATGCATATACAAGAAAACACCTTTTGAATAGCTGTCCACTGTAGTGACCTCTATGCATGAAAGGGTGTACATTATTTAATTTCATATTCTCTTCTTGTACTCATATTGTATTTAGATGTATATAGACTTCTTGCACTATTTTACATTTTGTATTTGTTTCTCAAATTTGACTTATTTTTCAAATGTTTCGACTTTTTTCTCAACGTTTTTGACTTTTCCTCCAAATTTGACTTTTTCTCCCAAGTTTTGTTATTTCTCCAAAGTTCACTTTCTTCTTAGTTTGACTTTTTGACTTTTTTTCTCAAAATTGTACTTGTTACTCAAATCTGAGTTTTTTGTCTTTTTCCTCAAATGTTGACTTTTTCCTCAGAATGTCTCATTGCCATTTCTAACCTATAGCTCATGTGCATATGACAATATAACCTTTGAATTTGAATTCGATATACATGTAAATGATTATGAAGTAGAGGAGCTGCTGCTGCTCATCAAACTCAATTTATTCTCTCTCTGATGACTCTCTTGTTTCTCTTCAGAGCTGGTCAGACTGGTGGGAGGAGAGAGTCGCTGTGCAGGAGACCTGGAGGTGAATCTTCATGGAGACTGGAGGCGAGTGGGCTATTACTCTCTCTGGACCCTGAAGGCAGCAGGTGTTGCCTGCAGAGAACTCGACTGTGGCTCTGCTGTTTCTATAGGAGACAGAGAGTCCTCAGTGAGACCTGCGTGGTTGATCAGTTCTGACTGTGTTGAGACTGGATCTGCTCTGAGGGAGTGTGCAGTATCAAGTTCCTATTCCCACTTCCTGACTTTTACCTGTTCAGGTAAGCTCCTTTAATTTGTTCTCACAATTTGACTTTTCCTCGAAATGTTGACTTTTTCCTCAAATTCCTCGAATATTGCCAACGGAAGAGGGCTGTTGAATTTATTATCACAACTCAAGAGGGACAGTTGAAGAGATTTTAATGTATTTGATTTCACACCTGGTAGTCTATGAGGGTTTTCCTCTGAATTCCAGCGGAAGAGGTTTTTAATGCAACTGAAGAGAGGCAGTTGAAGAGAGATTTACCAAATAAAATAAGAAATGTAAAACTGTGAATTGAGGTTTTTGATTGGTAATTTACCACAGCATGAAATATTTGTGTATGATTGTCACAGTGTAGCGAGAGAAGGTAAAAACCCTGTAAAAGTGTGGACCATTTTCTTCAAATAAATTCATCCCACCCTTTTGGGATAACTTAAAATAAATCTGCGTCCTCTCCTGCTTTAAGGTAAGATTGCACAACTGCCACACTCACACTTAGGCAGGGCCAGACCTCATTACTGATACCAGAATCCTACGGGATCGCTTAAACCGATTTAGTGCGTCGTCTGAATTGAAACAGCAGTTAATTGAACCTGGTTCTTCGGAAGTTAGTAGAGGTGAGACCTTGCTGATCCAGGTGGATCCGAGCCCGGCAGTAAACTTACATAGCTTCTGTTAGGTCAATTAGTAAGACTGATTAATTGCCAGAATAATTAATACAGGCCTGCCAACTCCAACTCCAATGCTGCCTTGTAAGCCGGTTCGAACCCCAAGCTTTTTGATTGGAAGTCAGAATGTC